GAGTCGCACGCTGCTGCCCCACGCGTCGCGCTCTACTGCAGCCCGTGCGTCGCGCCCTGCAGCCCCGCGCGTCGCGCCCTATGGCAGCCCGCGAGTCTCGCGCTGCTGCCGCGTGCGTCGTGCTCTGCAGCAGCCCGCGCATCGCGCCCTGCTGCCCTGCGTGTCGCGCCCTGCTGCAGCACGCACGTCGCGCCCTGCTGCCCTGCACAGCGCGCGCCCTACTTCCCGCGCCACCCAGGCTGAGGTGAGCCGCCCTACCCGAACTGATCCACCCTGCTGCTGCTGGTGGTGGAGGTGGTGCTAGGAGTGCTGGAGGTGCTGGAGCCTAGCCTCACAAGCCGCTCTACTATTCGTCTTACTGCTGCTGCTACTCGTACTACTGCCTTCACTCCGTACTGCCCTAGAGGTCGCGCTCCTCCTAGCTTGCCCGCCATGAGTTCACTTTGTAGTCGCGGTGGGAGTGGTGAGGGCGGTGGTGGCAGTAGTGGGAGTTGTGGCAGCCGTAGTAGGAGTCACTGTGGAGATTTGTGGTGTGGAGTCTCTGGCGGTGGCCAGATGCAGCTACGAAGGCGTCCGACCCTTACGCCCCAGCAGCTTCGTGAGTGGCTTTACCAGCGTGGGACGTCTCTGAGTCCTGGTCGCTGTCCGTACGTCATTTGCACAGGTCAAGCTGGTCAAACCTGTGGGACACTTGGTCACGCACAGTCCCGCTGCTTCGCCTACTTGACAGACGCCTGGCACGCAGAGTTTGGCGACGAGGCTGAGACCCCCCACTGGCTTGAGCTACTTAGGTCGGGCGTTGATGTCTTTGCTTTAGACTATAACGCCATCCTTACGGCCATGTCTGGTTTGCCTGGCGGTGCTGCGAGTGATTGTTACTGGTGTGTGCAGTACGACCCCGGTATAGATGTTGCTGCTCTAGGTGCTAGTGAGGCTGCTGCCTTAGGTGCTGGTGAGTCTGCTCTCTCAAGTACTGCACGTGCTAAGGTCTTGCACACCTTCACGCTTGACTCAGGTGCTTCCCGCTGCTTCTTCCGTGACAGTACCGCACTCGCACCACTCCGTGCACTTGTTGTAGTCTCTCTGGCTTACCCCTCAGGGTGCCCAGTTCTTGCACGATCCACCACTGTGCTTCCCTGCCATGCGGTTCCGTCTGGCTCAATATCAGGTCTCCACTTCCCCTCATTCTCGACGAACTTGGTGAGCAACGCCGTCCTCCATGATCATTGGGTTAACACCTTTACCCCTGGAGGACAGCGTGTGGCGATCTGTACGTGCTCCAGGACTGACCGTCACCTGGCCACATTCACCCGTAGCTGCTGTCGGTCAGGTGCCCGCGTTAGGTCTGGTAGCCTCCCCTTGTGAATGTCGCGCCCCGTCGCACCACACGCTTCTCTGGCACCACCGCCTGGGTCACCCCTCCTTGCCACGTCTCCCTGGCATGCACCGTTGCCTCCTTGTGTCTGGTCTTCCCAGGTCTCTCCCTTCCCTCCCTGCCTCGCCTACGCCACCCTGCCTTCCTTGCGTCGAGGGGCGGCAGCGCGCCGCTCCTCACTCCTCCTCTTTTCCCCCGACAGAGGCTCCTCTGCACACCCTCCACCTGGACGTGTGGGGCCCAGCCCGCGTTCATGGACAGGGCGGTGAGCGGTACTTCTACTGGTTGTCGACGACTACTCGCGTTACAACATGGTCTTCCCCTTGCGTTACTCAGTGGAGCCTCCGCCGGCCAGTCTACGGTCTCCGTCAGGCGCCTCGCGAGTGGCACGACACATTGTGGACGACGCTTGCGGCTCTTGGGTTCGCTCCTTCGACTGCTGACCCGTCGCTGTTTCTGCTCACCGACACTTCGCTGCCGCCGTTCTACATCCACGTATACGTTGACGACTTGGTCTTTGCCACTGCTGACACTGAGGCTCTCGCCCACGTGAAGTCGGAGCTGCAGAAAAGACACGCGTGCACAGACGTGGGTGAGCTGCGCAGCTACCTTGGCCTGCAGATCACCCGGGACAGAGCACGGCGCACCATCACACTAACCCAGTCACACATGGTGCAGCAGGTCCTTCGGCGCTTCGGCTTCACTTGGTCCTCGCCATAGGCCACTCCTCTGGATACCGGTCACTCGCTCTCACCTCCACCTTCGGACGAGTCCGTAGAGCCAAGTGGCCCGTACCCAGAGCTAGTGGGCTGCCTCATGTATCTGATGATCTGCACTCGTCCTAACCTCATGCACCCTCTTGGCCTTCTGGCACGCTACAAGGCTCCTGGTAGGCACCGAAAGGTGCACATGGATTCTGTGAAGAGGGTATTGCGCTACTTGTGCAGTACATCGGGCATGGGGCTCGTGCTTGGAGGGCGGAGCTCAGTTGTCCTCACCGGGCACTTAGACGCTTCTTGGGTTGACGACCTGGCTACGCAGCGGTCGTCACAGGGTTACACATTCAGCCTTGACTGTGGCTCTGTTTCTTGACGGTCTACACGCTCATCTTCTGTTCTCAGCTCCAGTTGTGAGGCTGAGATCTACGCCACAGCCATGGCTGCACAGGAGCTACGCTGGCTCACCTACCTGCTGACCGACTTGGGAGAGAGGCCTCGTTCTCCTCCTCTTCTGTACGTCGACAACAAGGTTGTTATTGCCTTGTGTTAAGACCACAGACTGGAGCACAGATAGAAGCACATCGCTTTGCGTTACTTCATTGCTCAAGAGTTGCAGTAGCGTGGTCAGCTTCATATCGCTCACGTGCCCACTCGGGCTAACACGGCTGATGTGTTCACCAAGGCCCTTCCGGCTGGCGATCATCAGCGCTTCTGCACTGCTCTAGGCCTGGTGCCTACGTTTCCTCGCTTGTTGTAGACTCTGGTTGTACTTTGATATATATATATATATATATATATATATATATATATATATATATATATATATATACCTGCATGCTTACTCTTGCTAGGTAGTGATCACTGTACTGTTGTTGTTGCATATATACCTCTGCATGTGAACTGGCCTTGTGGCCCTTTGCTTGTGCTCGGAGTGTGTGGTGACGTTGTGATCCACCCTGAGCTTGCTTTGTTTTTCTTGAATGATCTTGTGACCCCTTGTTCTCTCCCACTTTACCTATGGGGATGTGTCAAACCATATATGTGCTAGTTGTGTGTAGGCTATAGTGGGGTAGCCCATGTGGGGTACAACTAAATATTAGGGTTAGTACTTGTACCCACAATTCATTCAATGCAATCATTCCTGCTTGCAATCTTGACACCTGACCCATACCACCGCATACGTACTTCTCATCACGACTGCCCAATCAGGGTTGCATACGATCCAGGGCATGTTATGGTTCAGCCACGACGTGCCCATCTAGGGCACGATTCCCCTCCACCAAGGCATAGAGATGACCAGCTCAGCTTCTCTGCGGGGAATCTTGACAGTGGCCACCCCTTCCCCGCATAGGAGGACGGGCCGCAAAACTGAAGGGGTCTCGGGCGAGGGCTTCATATGGCCCTCATTCTCAACTTTCTCTTCACTTTTTTTCCTTCTGTTGGCCTGCCGTGGCCATGGCGGGCCTTCCAGGCACGCATTTTCTGTTCCGCCGCCAACCTGCTGCTAGAGAAAATACGCGTAGAGACAACCGTCACTACTCCCAATGGCAGAGCCACCCTGTGCCCGTCCCTCGACCACAGCCAGTTGTGCCTCCCGTTCCTCCCACTCCTCCAATGCCTCCTAGCCCTCCCACTCCCCTGGCGCCTCCGGCTCCTCCCGCTCCTCCGTCCCCTCCCGAGCCGCCTGTCTTCGGTGTTCCACGCCAGGGGGTTTTTGCAGCTTCTCCTTCCTCCTGGCTACTCGGCGTTCAAAGCTTGCCTGTATGAGCCCGTGGATCTCAATGGCTTGGAAGGCCATGCCCAAGGACATGATTCAACGGGCATTTCTCACCTGCGGCATTAGCAACGCCCTAGATGGGTCCCAGGACAAGCTCTGCCTGCAACACATGCGAGACGAGCTCGAAGGCGATGAAATCGAGATGGATGATAAGATCGCAGCAGGCTGCAGGTGGCGTATTCTGCAACAATGTAGAGGAAACTGTGTCGGACTCCGAGGCCAACCCAGATGACCCCACCGCGGCTGGTGACTAGAGTATGTCAAAGCTATGTTTATGTTATATCCTACTTGCTGTAGTTTAGTGTAGTTTTTATCACAAACTTCTTCCCTATTTGTACTTCAAACCCTCTAGTGAAACGCCTCTTTTGTTGGCCAACTATCGCTTCTCCCTTCCCTCTTGTAACTGTCGTGATTGCCTAGCTATGGCTCCTAAGCCTAGCTTCCTTTTGACAGAGTAGACGTAGGGAAAATGATGTACTAGCCTGTGTTTGAGGCTCGTAGGTAGATATTAGCTGCAAGTAACCTTAGATAAAGGTTGAAATTGTTTTTGTGAGCGAATAACTTAACATAAAAAGACTTAAAATAGGGTGGCAGTTATATTGTGTAAGGCACAAGTATGCGGCTATAATCCATAAGCCTAGTATAAGTATGCGCCTATAATCGAGGAGCGGAAATAAGCGCCATCTGCCAATTATAAGCGCCAGCCGCTTATCCTAGGGTGACGCTTATATCCGGGGGGTGACGGTAAGTAGGCAAGGCAAGGCACGTGCTGGTTACTCTGATTGCTTTAACTGCCATTCATGCCACCAGCGACACGAATTGGTTGCTCTGCTCGACAAAGAAAACGACCAGATAACACGTTCTTGTCGATTCTTGCCAAGTGCAAACTTTGTCTTGAATAATGATGCTACGAGAGTGTCAACCTCACAGTGACTATTTCTATCACGGTACATCCTACTGCACCACATGAAGAGCACGGGACGGGAGCAAGCTTATGCCACCCATGTGGCACTGCACACCCACACTACACGCCGTGTACAACCTACGAAGGAAAAGTTATGCCAGGCACACACATGACATGATGATGTTATCATGTAGAGATCCATCCATCCGTGCCACCTTGGTCCAATCACATGGGTGGACCCAACCACGATTTTCCATCATGTGAACCGGTGCCTGCTGCTTCCCGTACAGCAGCATCTGACTGCTCCCTCTGCAGGTCACCTCTCTCCTCCTCCACCAGGTCACACTCCATGCTACCTTCCCTCCAACTCTCTGTTCCATCGCCCCATTCACTCCCACTTTCCCTCCTCCTCCGGCCCGATCTACTGCCACTACCAGCACCCCCACCCAGCACCCCTCCTCCACTTCTCCAGAACCCTGCAGCCTCCTTCTCCTCGTCGCCCATCTCCCCCACCACCAGATCCTGCCACTCGAGCAGCATCATCGGCGTTTGCGGCCGCGGGTGATGCATCCACCACTCCTCTTCTTCCTCTTCCTCCTCTTCCTTCTCCTCCTCTTCCTTCTCCTCCCCTTCCTCCTCCTCCGACTCCCCCGCGTCCTCATCCTCTCCCCACCCTTCCTCCAATTGCCTCGCCCCATCCATCTCTTCCCCACTCTCCTCCCAGGCGTTCTCATCAGCAACACACCCTTCTCTTACCATACCCTTACCGCCGCGCCTGAGCCCATGAGCTGATCCAGACCCATCAACTCCACTGCTACAGCCAGATGCACCAGCAGAGAGCAGATAGGAACACCCGTAGCAAGGCAAGGGAGGCGGTATGAGCGCTCGGGTGCATCCCCTCTCATACCACGGCCAATGGGCTGCTCCTTGCGTTGCCACACCTCCTGCTGCCGTTGCTACTCCTCCGCTCACCCCTCTTCCTCCACCTCCCCTAAGCCTTCCTCCCCCTCTTCCTCCACCTTCGCCGCCTCCTCCCCTTACTCCTTCTGCCGCCGATGAGAGCCCTGGGATTCGCGGTGGTTTAGGGTGCGTCGCAGCAGCTTCGCATCTAAGGGCGATTGGCGGCGAATAGCCCGGAATGCACGGAATGGTCGGTCGCCGTGCCTGCTGCGCGCTTCCGCGACTGCTCGCTCTCACCTCATTCCCACCCCGGCGACCGCCTGCCCAGCTGTCGCCCAGCGATCGCACATGGTCGCCCATAAACCGCACACTCTCACCCACAAGTCGCCCAGCGAACCACTCGCCTCGCCGACTGTCCCGAAGACTTCTACCGTCGCCCCCTCTCCCGCGTTCTTCCGCGCCAATCCCGCCCTCCGCCAACGTTCGTCTTTCCGCAAAAAAACAGCCTCCCGCCACTCTCTGAATCTCGTCAAGCCTCCACCCATCCACCAGACCCTCTACTCCTGATCCCTCCCCCCTCAAGTCAAGTCCAGCCGCGCCCGCGTGCCACCGGGGGAGAGCCTCCGTCACTGCTCCGCCAGCCCTCCACCCTGAAGGGGGCCTCCCCGCGCTTTTCGTGGGCCCGCGAGCTCTCGGCAGCAGACGGCACGCGCCAAGACACGACGGCTGCGCGCCCGGGGAGGACGGCGGGGACGGCGGAGAAAACCCTTCCGGAGAAGTCCGGGTTCGTGCGGAATGCGCGCACGGGGAAGGGCAGCGAGGAGAGGGGAAAGGCGAGGGGGAGCGGGGAGGTGAGGCGGACATGAAGGGGAGCGGGGAGGGGGAGGAATTGGGGAAAGAGCAAGTGGTGAGCGAGGGGGAGGAGGCGGCGCGAGTGAGCATGACAGGGGTGTCCTGCGCGCTGCTGCTGCTGCACAAGGCGCTGCCGCTGCCGCTGCCGCTGCCGCTGCTTCTTCCGCTGCTTCCGCGGCTGCTCTGGCCTATGCTGCGCCCACTGGTACCTCCCGCGTCCCCTCGGCCCGCCCAGGGCTTAGTAAGGTCGTCGTCATTACTCTTCCTAATGGTCGTGTCCACACCGCGCCGAGCTCCTCTATTATTCGGTCCCGGAGCTGCTTCCTCCTCCGCCATTCTGCGGTCATCCTCAAATCCCGTCTCTGGCACGATTGCTTCCAGTCCTTGCTCCACCTTTCCGGCCACCACTCTGGCCTTCTTTCCGCGAATTGCTGAGCCCATCGTTTTCTCCGCCGGCCGCGCTGCCGCGGCATGAAAAGCGGAGAGACCGCACCTCTCGCACCCGTTGCCGTCCCCGAGAATCTTGCGCCGAGACTGCCTGAATGCGCCACCGCCTCTGCTCCCCGCACCTGCTATTGCGGCCATGTCCATCGAGCCGACGACGAAAGACTCGCCACGCCGGCCGCCGCGCCGGCTGATGTGCGGCGAAGGACGGCTGCGGGTGAATGGTCCCGTCAGGACCCTGCCGAAGCACGTAGGGTCAACGCACGATTCCGAATCGTCCTGCGATACCAAAGCATCACGACCCACATCGCGCAGCCTCGGGCCTAGGCTGTCGTTCCGCCTACCCTCGACCCTTCTTCCTTTGCCGCCTAAGCCGCCTCCGCTGCCTCTTCCGCCTCTGCCGCTTCCGCGGCCGCCTTGGGCGGAGCCGATCCGTCGTCGGGCACCGCACCACGTGTCATAGTCGTAGTCGTACCGAGTCGTAATATACGGATCGTCGCGGCTCCTTGGTTCTGCGAGCGGGCACCTCCGTTCGAGACAATTGTGCGGATTGCACGGTGCTGCGTGCGCAGCGACTGCCTCTTTTGTCGCGTTCGCACCCATCAGAAGAGTAATTGGCAAATTCTGGGCTCGAGAATGGAACAAAGAGGAGCGAGAAAAGAGTTCCGAGCTCTAGGAAAGCTGTTCTTGCTGCCTAGCGCGAAATCCGGCCGCGCTAAAAAGCATTTTCGCAGGTACTGGTTTCGAAAATGACCTAGGGACTGTCGCCGTGCCAAACTCGAATCAATCTGTATTGCTACGTGACTACATCAGCGGATCTGCACGGATTAACGAAATTACACTCAGCGAGACCATAACCTCAATGGACAGTTACTCTTGGCTACGAGTTGTGTCAGTTCTCGTTTGCGACGATGGTATACCTGATGAGCCTCTCATAAAGATACCTCAAACACCTCTAGTCCCCAACCAGTTAGTCATGGTAGACTGTTCCTACAACCCACTTCCCCAAAATCCCGCAATGCAATGTTTGATAGCCCACTCTGCGGTCCCTGCCCCTTGCGAGTCCCACAAAAGCCAAACCCACTCCGTGTGGGGATGGTCAAGATTTCCTTTCCATCCATCCATCCATCCATCCCCTCCACCAGAACCCGCCAGAATCTCCCTACACGCGTGTCGCAAGTCCTTCTCTCATCGCGCATCCTCGAACCGCTTTAGCGCCGCTTCACGAATCACCACTCTATCCTTTCTGATCATCCCCGTTTGGTACTGACGGTAAAATCGTCGCGACCCGGGCAAGGTTGAGACAACCGCGTTCGTAAGACCGAACAGACCAGTTAGGAGAAGGAGAGGCGACGCGCCACGTGTGAATACCCAGTCCGTTGGAGGGAGAATTATCGACATCGCCATCGGAGGGGAGTACACCCCTTACATGTATCCCATATACTCCTAAGCTTACAGTTATTCGTCTTGCATGCTTTCCCTGGCCATGCAATATCACAACGCTGGATAATTCAGCTAATGCTTCCTCCGAAATATACTCCTGAAAAAGGTTAGATAAGAGTATCAAATATTATATATCGTTCTTTGGTATAATCCGCATCAGATATAATGGGTATATAAGATATACTAAGAAACTATCATGTAGTATGTTATTTATTGTAAAAGAGAGCGTGTGGAATAACGAATAACGAGGTTGTAATGTTACGAATGGTGAAATGGGAAAGGCACTGTGCACTCCTAACTGCAGCAAGTGAAGCATATAATGCCAGAGGTCCACTGGTGATCCCCGTTTGATTCTAGGGAAAGGTTACAGGCATGTTGGCCTGGGGGGTTGTGGGTGCACTGACCCACTACTTAACAAGCCTTTTTATCATAGTGGTCAAGTGACTGGGATACTGACATGGTATCAGTGCAAAGGTCTCGAGTTCGAATCCCAGTATGTGCACTTCGGGCATCCCAGTGCGGGGGAGTGTCAGAGGTCCACTGGCGATCACCGTTTGATACTAGGGAAGGGTTACAGGCATGTTGGCCTGGGGGATTATGGGCGCACTGATCCGCTGCCTTACAAGCCCTTATATCCCAATGGTCTAGTGACTGGGATTCTGACATATAACCGAGGCTGAATGCGAAGAGGCAGAGTAACGCGAGAAGTCGCGTATGTTTGCGGAGCATCAAGACCGTCAGGGCAGACAGCATCAGGCAGCAACAGTGGCGAGGATTCTGCCCGGACAGGTTCGTAACTGTCTGAAGTTGCACGGTTGGACTTAGTTGTAACAAGGGAATGTATCGTACATAGCTAGTTAGGTCGTTTCGTACTCCACTTGTACTCTCATATGTATGTTTGCATTAGCGTATTTCTATTATCTCGATCATTTTATAATCACCTTGAGTTGAGGTCAAGGGCCCACCACCACCACTCAGTTGTGTTGAACCTTCCCGAGGTGATATTGGGTGCTCAGATCGCAGCATGGTATGAGAGCAACTCGGGAATCCTTCGCACAGCCACCGCCGAAATCTTCGGCGATCGAAAGGTGGCGTCCGGCAACCCTCTCAACCGGCCTCAAATGGTCACAATACCGCCCCGCACAGCTTCTCCCTCGAAACGAATGGATCGACTCCCAAGAATCCCTGTCCTAGGAAAGAAGCAATTTTCCTTGCCCAATCAAGGTTCCTAAGCGGGCATCACCTATTGACGACACCTTTGACGCCAAGGCACAATATTACAATAAGTCCTTGATGGCGTACGGCTTCCTATTGCGGAATATGTCACCAGTGGAGCAGTTGAGCATACGATCGCACAAAACAACGTCTGCCCCAGCCCTCGACGCTTGGCGATATCTGAACGGTATGTACCAACCGAAAGACGAGGTTTCATTGAGCCGCCTGCTTCAGCAGCTTCTAGAGACAAAAATGGCCCCATTCGAGAAGGGCAACAGCTACATTAATCGCTGTTGGAGCTCATGCGATCAAATCGCAAAATTGGAAAGCAGTATTACTGAACAAATCTTCATGAACATCGTGCTTCAAGGGCTCGGCCTAGAATGGTGGCCCTGCAAGGCGCTTCTCCGACCGCAGGGGCTTATCTCAGAAGCCTCTTTATGCGCTGCCCTCCTCGTCGAATAGAGAGACATGGACCAGCAGCGATTAGTGCAGCGAGGAGACAGGGAACGCCTCGCCTTCTACGCAGACAACACAGAAGAGCGGCGACCGCGGCACCTTTACTGCAAAATCTGCGGAAAGTGTCAGAACATTATAGCTTATACATCTGTGTAGGCTGTAGTGGGGTAGCCCATAAGGGGTACAACCCAATTCGGGTTAGTACTTGTACCCAACTGTTTCATAGTTCAATCATTTCTCGTTCTAATTTTCACATGGTATAGAGCAGGTTCCCCCATGGGAACTGTTCCTAGGGCCCACCGACCTTTTTTTTCCTGCCCGCAGCGCGCTTGGCCCCTGCCCGAGTCGCGCCCCGTGTGACTCCCCTTCGTGGCCTCTAGCGGCCTCCCTCACGGCCCCTAGTGGCCCCGTCGTGCCGTCCTCACGGCCCCGTCGAGCCGCCCTCACGGCCCTCTTCGCACCGCCCTTGCGGCCCCTTTCCGCGGCCCCGTCGCCGCCCTTTCAGCGGCCCCGTCGCCGCCCTTTCCGCGGCCCCGTCGCCGCCCTTTCAGCAGCCCCATTGCCTCCCTTCCGCGGCCCCGTCGCCGCCCTTCCACGGCCTCACCGCCCGCCCTTGCAGCGGCCCCGACGCCTCCATTCCGCGGCCCCGTCGCCGCCCTCCAGCTGCCCCGTCGCCGCCCTTCCGCGGCCCCGTCGCCGCCCTTTCAGCGGCCCCGTCGTCGCCCGCCCTTTCAGCGGCCCCATCGGCGCCCTTCCGCGGCCCCGTCGCCACCCTTTCACCGGCCCCGTCGCCACCCTTCCGCGGCCCCGTCGCCGCCCTTCAGCGGCCCCATCGCCACCCTTCCGCGGCCCCGTCGCTGCCCTTTCAGCGGCCAGTCGCCACCCTTTCAGCGGCCCATCGACGCCCTTTCAGCGGCCCCGTCGCCGCCCTTCCGCGGCCCCGTCGACCACTCAGCCGCCTAGCGCCCGAGCCGCGAAGCAGCCCAGCAATCGAGCCGCCCAGGCGCCGAGCAGCCGAGCCGCCGAGCAGCCGAGCCGCCGAGTAGCCGAGCCGCCGAGAAGCCAAGCCGCCGAGCAGCCGAGCCGCCCGACCGCCAAGCCGCCTGACCGGCGAGCCGCCCAGCAGCCGAGCCGCAGAGCCACCCCACTTGCCTCGTAAGAGCAGCGCCTCTGCCACTGCACTGCCCTGCCCCACTGTACTCACTTCCTGTCTACTGCTATCATGGCCTCCCCTAGTGTTCTCACCTTTGACGCTGAGGGTCGGGCAGTTGACTTTGAGGTCTGGGTAGATGATCTGCAGCTTTTCCTACAGTGCGATAGGGCAGACAGTCTCTCCCTGTTTGACCTCACTTCTGGTGCCTCCCCTGCCCCTGCTGCTGATGCTGACGCCACTGTTCGCTCACAGTGGGCACCGCGTGATGCTGCTGCTCGCATTGCTGTGCGCCGCCACTTACCGACCACTGAGCGTGCACACTTTAGGCAGTACAAGAGTGCTCAGACCTTGTACGACGCTGTAGTTGCACGCTACTCTTCCCCTGCCACTGCTGCACTGAGCCGCCTCATGCTACCGTACCTCTTCCCTGACCTTGTTGCCTTTCCCACAGTTGCTGACCTCATTACGCACCTCCGCACTAGTCACACTCGCTACCGCGCTGCGCTTCCTGCTGAGTTCTGCGCCAAGACCCCCCCCCCATGTACATCACCCTCTACTACATAGTCACCCGGCTCCCTGACTCTCTCCGCGTAGTCAGGGACCACTTCCTCTCAGTTTGCCCCACCACTCTCACCGTTGACCTCCTCGAGAAGGCCCTCCTAGTAGCAGAGAAGAGTATAGTCGCTATAGGAGCCTCTCGTGGTGACCCTCGCACCCCCATCTTTAAGGGGTGTTCTCCCTCCCCCCTCTTGCCCTCTGTTGCCTCTGCTGCTGCGGCCGACCTCGTTGGTTTCGAGTCGGTCGGCGCTGCGTCTGCCCTGAGCGGGAGACGCCGCACCGGCAAGGGCAAGGGAGGCAAGGGCGCTGGAGG